ACACATTTGGAAAAATATAATATGTTTTATTTATATTTACAGTTTATAAATCCTGTATGCCTAGTTGGTTTAGTGCGTGTACTGGAATATCGCATAAAACATGACTACACACATTTGTTGGCATAAACGGATATAAGCTGAATGAAACCTAAAGGGAAGCAGGCTTACCAACATGAGAACTTGTTTTGTCCGTAAAATCTCTGTACTTATGATTTGGGTTGCGTAATTCAATAAATAAGTACTTATTTCAAGTAAGTATAAGTTACTTGAATTACATCTTCAAAATGACACCCTAACTTTGATTCTACGTTAAATGCAGCCTTCAGAAATACAGTTGTACCACACCCTTTCGTTTGCACGAAACGGCAGAGGTAGGGCGGACCCTTAAAAAAAAACCCGTACAATAAACATCGTAAGGTCCGTAACAATTGAAATAATTCTCGTAGTTGTTTAATTTTGTATTTTATTGTTTCAATAATTAAGTACTAGGATCTACAGTTCACCAATGTATGCAATAAATAGACATGATTTTGTTGTTTTATTTTTAGAAGAACGAGGAATGAACTTAAAAAAATCTGCTATATTTCACTAACTCTGAAGAACCTATGCTTTATTAGTAAAGTAGCAGTTTACACATTTTGTGATTTTATAAATTCTAAGAAATCCAAATTTCATAGTTAGAAGTTAAAAAGTTACCAAAACATCGTTAGAAACTACCTATTTTAAGTCTTTGATGTCAGTCTAACTCTAAACAAACATTGCGCCACTGTTTTAACTCAATATAATTTTCCCCGGTTTGTCACGCCCAATATTTTCCAAGAACCTTATCAGTTCAGCTGACAGAATGACCGGTGACTAGATAGGTTTTTAACGACGCTACAAGACAAGACGATCGTAACTGTGTCTAGGCGACTCCGCGGGTTTTCCGTCTGGGTAACGGATACCGGCGAGACTGGTTTAATTGTATTTATTAGTGGTGATTAATGAATAATCCGACTAATTGGTTACCATCCATCGGATCACATGGGAAATAAACATGAAACGAGTAAATTGATGAATGTCTATGTAAAATAGTTTTTTCTAATGTGAAGTGTTGTAAAAGAATATGTGTGGGGTTATCTTGATTTGTGAGTTAAATTTGGGTTATTCCATTCACGAAAACCACTGATAATAACAAAACGAGTAATATACATATTAGATCTGTAATTGTTATCGCTCATGCTCGCCTTATGTAGTTTCTAGGTTAAATTTTCGTCATAAACAGAAAAGTGAAATGGCGACCATACGACGGGAGGTATTTTAAGCAACGTATGAATTTAGATAAATTAGGTATGCCATACACGTGATAGGGACAACAAACCTAATTTTGGGTTGGAGTTGTAAGTTGTACAAATGGTGTACGTGTCTAAGGGTGAGAGAAAACTGATACTTTTAAATTCTAGAAAGGCTTCGTTATCAGCTTAGTAAATGGTAATTCTAGCCTTCTTGCATGAGGCCCCAGAAACAATCATAACAATCACACAGCACATCTCTTGTCAGTAATCCCCGCAAGATTTGTATTTACTAGTAGCTTTGGGGTTTTCCTTATATCTACGATCAGTTTTCATTGAAAATTACTTGTTGTTACAACATTCTACAGAAATAAACGATTGTTTCTGCGGTTACATTCTCTTGACTCTTGCTTGTGTCACAGCGCAGTTATTGTTCGAAAATATACGCTACATAATTAACTTACGCAACACAAAATAGAGAATGGCGAATATGTATTTTTCCTGAAATTATGTATGTAAGAGATGTTTCTATAAACCAATTATTTGTTGTTAATATTGTACCTTTACTAAACAATTTATTATTAACAGCCCTACATTTAGTTAGAATGTAAAATAACTGTGATGAATTCATTTTCACTAACAACAAATTAACACAAAAACAATCTTTTGTTTTGTTTTTTGGAAGCAAGGGAATCGTTTATCATATCAACGTCATTTATTGTGCATATATATCAAACTTTAACTTTTGTACTAGACTTCGTGAAGGTGACAAATAACATAAAATTGTTTTGTCGTGACATCAAATATTTGATTTAACTTTAATATTATTTCAAGCTTATCGGCTATGACGTCATCTTGTCAACATTAGAGATTACATTTAGAAACTGAATAACGTATGACCATTGCCTCAATGCTATGACTATATCAGTATTGGGCAATGGTCTCAGTGTACAGACAACAATCATCACGCAATATTAAGTTCTGGGAAAAAAACAATTACTTTTAATTTAAATTTCTTCAAGTTCGTTATTTTTTATATCCTATGAATAATATCCCATTTTAAATATCCTATTAGGAAATTACTTGTGAAACAATCAAAGCAAACAGTTGTCAAGGTTAACTACTGTTTATCTTTATCTGTAAACAAACTGATTCGTCGCTATCGATAAAAGATAAGCTAACATTTATCTTACTGTACTCGGCCCACGAAAATCCTTAAGTTCCCCAAGTCCAAGTCCAATGTTATTTATTGTGAAACCTATTACCCTCAACCCTCATCATTCATTATTGTGAAATCGTCGACAACGTAGAGATAACTAGAAACAAAACAGAGGAACTAAGTTCGGTTCCGGCTCAGATTGGACTGATAAACGATCAGATGATCATGAAAAGAATAACGTCATTATGACTCACAGCTGGTTTCGGTCATTGTTGTAACCTAGCAACCGCTGACGTGTTTCCATTCATTGTTGAGTTTGTTGAATTATCGAACATAGGGAGGGGAAATGTTCTAAAGAAGTGCGACTTTTGAAGTACGTTGCTAATTATCGCACACCTGTGTTACACTTCGCAATAGCAAACATTGTATTGTAGATTGTACACAGTAGATTGTAATTATACAGTAATGTATAAGTAACAGTAATTGTTGTAATTGTAACAGTACAATGTTTATATAAATTAGTCCCTGGATATGTACAACTTGTATTAATTGAATTTTCTTGGTTTTAATCAACTGAATCCTGAATCTGGATCAAATTCTAGTTTTTTTTTTCAAACTGTCAAAGAAACTGTGTCATTTTTTGTAGCTTGCCTATTTTATATGGACAAAAAATGTATTATTTGATCTTAGACACGTCACTTGTATATATAGACTATAATATATAAATCCCAAAGTATCCATGAACTTTTGAGAAAACTACAAGTCACACCTCCATAAACCAAATAGGCCTACCTAAAATGTTCGTCATGACAAGAAACCTTGCGAAAAACTGTCCATTATTTCATAAATTGCCCTTTAAGGTCGTCATTCCTTTCTAAAGGGAACTTTCCATATTTACCTAATGTTAACAATACCCCAGCTGTACTTATTTGTTTGTTATTCTTTCAATTTACTACCTTATTAAAAAAGGTGTGATTATTTGGTTGTATTACAGTATTCTGTTTTGTTTATTTCAGCTTAACTTAACCAATCAATAGTTTATTAATACTTATGAAGTCACCGGGATGAAGCCCAGTGGGTAACAGCTAGTAATATATAGCCTATGTAATATATGGCTTAATATCCCATCTTGTCCTAGAAGGTTTTTCTTTTATTCATTGGCAATTATTATTGTTTATAATGACTGTATAATTTTTTGACCTAAGCAGATTCACCTAAATATATTCCCGCCAATCAATAAAAAAATTTTTGTTATAAAATTAAAAAGATTTTGTTTATAATTTAAAATTTTACTGAATTTTCTCCCTTTGATATTTAACACTAAAATGCCTACACAGAACACATACATAACAGCAGCCCATATAGAGTAACGTAACTGTTTTTAGTTGATATTTACGGTAACAGACTCAAATAATATGGATTTAAGGTAGTTTCCAATCAAAATATTTTTCAATATACATATCAGTGTTATTATTTGTTATTTCAAACATATTCACGGTATGTCAAATTGATTAAAAAATATCTTGAATAATGAATTTCTTGACAAATCCATTAAATTTTATCAACATCTATGAACTTTGACAAATTGGTTGTTACAAAGCTTGTCATGACATCCCACTCCATTTCACACTCAGTCTTCGCTCACATTTTGGTTAAAATACATCCAGTTGCGTCCCTTTATGTAATAATAAGAATATTAGGCCTAATTGATGGGTTTCTCAATGGATTAAGTAATGGCATTTTTCCGCATATTTTTAACCTCTAATCCTTGACCCCTCAGTGTGTACTGCTGTGTAGTATTGTAGGGGAGGTCCGAGGTAGGCTATAGATTCATCCCATAGACACTGGTACTGACTGGTAGACGTACTGGTAGATGAGCTGACACCAGCCTGGTCTAAACCACTGCCATATGTACGTTGTTGTATAATGCAGTCAGGTCTGGTTGACCTCACAGTAACACCTGTGCTGCTGGGGGCCGAGCTTAGCTCAGTGAAAACTCTTCAGCCTATCACAAAAATGACAAAACCTTTTCATGTAATTAATTTATGATTTACAAAATTTATTTATTATTGTTGTTGAACCAACTCTAACTGTAACTGTCTATTGATGTGATGGGTTTTTATTTTTAGAATTTGATCCACCTCAGCTTATTTTGATTTTGTTAGCAAAAACATAAAAAAACTTGTTAAACTTAATCGGTTCAAAAACTAAATTTTCAATGAAGTAGCTAGCAAAATTTTAATACCAACAGATTCTTTCTTTACCTCATTGTGCTTTAACCATGGCAATACAGACCTTCACTACTTTTACCTTTGAGCACTTATACACCTTCATTATTTTCTCACTAAATTTTAAGCTGATTTGAAATTTACACTCATGCCACCTTATGAAGCCATATTAATAAATAAACCAACAGATTTTATTTTTTAAACATTTTTACGGGTAATCATATGTTTAGCTAACTGGGGGATTCAACTGAATCAACAATCCAATTATGAACAGTAAAAGATCATAATATAAACTTATCAATCAGTTCTCAGCTAGTAATACTAAGCCCCGCTGTGTTGTAGGTCCACCAGAAGCCCCCGCTGCACGTCCCAGTGTCTCCGCCGCGGGGCCGGGTTGTGTGACCGTGGCTTGGTCCAGCCCCGCCTATGACGGAGGCTGCGTCATCACCGGGTACAGTGTAGAGATGAGGACCGCTCTGTCACACCAGTGGAATGTGGTAGCTGACAGGTGAATACACTAATATTTAATTTTTTTTTTTATTTGGCGGTAAAACAATTTTTTCTAAATTCAAGTGATTTATTGTACTGTTGTATTGTTGAAGCAGTATTCATAAAACTATTCCAATTTGAATTCAATCTCTTTGTGTTATGTAATCAACTATATATTTAATACAATAAAAGGTTTCTCATATCTGTAACATCCCTTTTTCACCTGCCCTACTTAACCGATTTTACGATTGATGTGTCATTGTAAAGCTTATGATCTAGTGAAGGGATAGTGGTAAATAAAAAGGCCATTTCATCCTTTAGGTCTTTGTCCGGCTAGCGTTTCAATTGTTTTTAGAGTTCGCTTTCAAATATCTAGAGATTCTGACCAACTTTCTTTAATTATATCGGTTTTAAATGTGAATTCTAATTTAACAGCTGTTCCTCCAGTTTAATGCTCAACAACAGTTAGGTTTGTAACTAAGGCTATTGTTATTATGATTGTAACCTGATTGAGGTAGGTAAACAACTATTTTTTGTGTAAATACACAGCCAACAGCCACCGAATTTAATTATATGTAAATTAGTAGTTTTATTTGCCTAATAACTGTCTGAAATTAACTTAGCCTAGGTCTAGTTTAAGTTATTCACCATCTCCGATGCATCTTCTTTACATGCCTTGGATTATTACGGTGGGTGGTAACTGGTAACGTAAGCCTGATCTAACATCTCTGTGTCTTCTGTCTAGATGCCACTCACTGTCACATGTAGTCCGAGGACTGACTCCAGGACAGACTTATCTGTTCAGGGTGAGAGCAGAGAACATCCACGGAGCCAGTGAGAGCAGCGCTGAGTCCTTCCCCTTCACACTGCAGTTGCCCCACACAGGTACTTTGTAGACATAGCTAGGTAGACATTCAAAACACAGACAGAATTTGCACCTCTCGATATAATAGTTTATGTGACATGAAAGGTGCTATTGTTTACAAAGAAAACCAACTACTGGTACTGTTCTATCAGTTTGACTTAATTAATAAATCGGCAAATTCAACATAAATCAGTATTTTATATCAGCACACTCTTTTGGTGGCTCAGTTCTACTAAATTATTTAATTTCTTTTCTAAAATTTGCTTCAGCTTTTAACATGGCATTTGAATGTCTAGTTCTTTCAATGGACTAAGGCTTTAAATGTTTTTTTGTTTATGAATTAATTTTAGTAATATTTTTTAGGTTTTCAGAAACCTTTCAAAACTTCTAAATGTTTATATAATAAAAACTGTATCCTTATCATGATTCCAAACTGTAGCTGAGTAAACATAGTGCTATCTTAGTAACTAGAAGGTTGTCATTTCTATCAAGAACAAAGTAAAAAATTCCACTGACTTTGTTCCTGATAGGACTGGACCCCAGAGTTGTTTTTAAGATCATAGGGCTTTTATGGTCCTTAATGATCCTACCTAAATTATCTGGTCTTAGCCAGTAATAAACCTATTCTCTCATTTATTGAAAATTCATCCATCACGCTTCTCTTTAAAATACACACTTTTAGTGTATCCGTGTGGAATAACTCTAGTAAACTATTTCCCAGGTTTGCGGGAAGACGAAGGTGAAGGAGAGGGAGAGGGAGAGACAGAGACAGTTGTAGAGGAGAGGTTGGTAGTCCCTCAACCTGGTGATGAGTTCCTGGAACGCTACTCTGTACATGAGGAGCTGGGCAAGGGCCGATACGGGGTCGTCCACAAGGTAGTGTTATTGGAATATTTTATTTAAAAATCTTTATCTTAAAAACGTATTCTGCTGATTTTTATTTTTTACCAGGCTCATTTGGACTCATCTGAAATCAATAAGTCTTATTGTACAACCGCTTGTTCTCTCGCAAGACTTGTGAGCAAGTCAATATATGACGTATTTGATAAAACTCAGCATATTTTGTATTTTTAATGAAACAGAGGTTGGTCCCAATTAATATTGATTGGAACTCTGCTGTATTACGTAATATCGATATTTAAATATCGAACATGTACAGATACAATGCAACAGATTCTTCGTCTTTAGGAGATGACACCGTGGTTAAACTGGTCAAAATACTAGTTGAAATTTTGAATGCGTTGCAGCAATCCTTCTTGAAGCAAGCTACAATTATTCAACTGTTCAACTGATTATTTTCTGCTTAATTCTAACTTAATTCATTTGGTAGAGGGGTTGCTGGTTTAGTAGTTAGAATGTAGGCTTCGGTCCTAGAGCTCTATGTTCAAGCCCTGCCAATCATCAATGCTAGCTATGTTATAATGCCATGTTTCAGTGGTTCAGAACACCCTTTATGCTATAGGTCAACCTACCTAGAAAATAATCAATTTGAGATCCCTCAGACAAGAAGAACTTTTGTATTAGGGAACTCACACACTTAAAAGCCATACTAATAATTGTTATTTTCCGTAGGTAACGGATCTGCGCACAGGCCACACGATGGCTGCCAAGTTTGTACGCTGCATCAAGAAGCAAGACAGAGAGAAAGTACAGGAGGAGATAGACATAATGAACTGTCTGAGGCATCCCAAGCTGCTGCAACTTGCTGCGGCCTTTGACAACCCCAAGGACATGGTCATGGTCATGGAATAGTGAGTGTTTGTCTTCTGAACGACAACAAGGTGTTAAAATATAATGGTTTTTGGACCTTGTGTTTCATCAAACCATCAGTTATGCCCTAATAATTAGAAGTTCACCTCATTGTTCATACCTATACTTGAGTGAACAGAAAACATATTCTTAAATGGTAACTTAAATAAAATTATTGACCATGTCAAATATTTATGCATATACGTTCATTGACCTTTTAAAGTAAAATTTGTTGCTATTTATTATGCTAGGATGGACTCTTTCCTATTCATGTAAGTCTATTCCTAAGATAATTATGGTCCCCTATGTTAACAAATGACAATGTTTCCTCTTTCTGTGCAGCATCTCCGGAGGTGAGTTGTTTGAGAGAGTTGTGGCTGATGACTTCACACTCACAGAGAGAGATTGTATACTGTTTCTGCGACAGATCTGTGAAGGCGTCAGATACATGCACACCTGCCAAGTTGTTCATCTAGACCTTAAGGTACGTTGTAGGGTTGGATAGCATTATCACAACCAGTTACAAAGGCTGGTATGTCAGAGACAAGAGTATCTGAACTAACCAAACTTTTACTTACAGCTATTAGCGAGTAAAACTAAATGAGAGAAACAAGGTGGGTGGAGAGGAGCGAAATCATCTCTTGGGCCCATAGCACATTCTATGAAAACTGCGGGCCTGCATCACCCTTACTTTTTTTGTGTTTACTAAAAACTTGTTTCAAAATTATTTTAAGTTTTGTGTTCATAAGATGAAAAAAGAACATGATAGAAATATGCATAGTCAAATCCCTAATTTTCCCTGAATTCAATGGGCCAACATTTCTTTTTGTCTAGAAAATGAGCAAAGATGGAAAAGTCACTTCTAGCCTGTGTGAGGAACTAATACAATGTAAAGCTAACTCTGACTCATAGCACTTTTATCTTGTTTACTTTTACAAGTTCCCCCAAAAAGACTGTACATCCTAAAAGTTAATGTATGATTTTAAATGTTCCCTAGTCAGATATTCCTCTGATATTGGTTGTAATCCCACAGCCAGAGAACATCATGTGTCACACAAGGACGTCCCATCGTGTCAAGATCATCGACTTCGGTCTCGCACAGAAGCTCCAGTCCAACACTCCGGTCCGAGTGTTGTTTGGAACTCCTGAGTTCATTCCTCCTGAGATCATCAACTACGAACCCATTGGTGTAGAGTCCGACATGTGGTCTGTGGGGGTCATCTGCTATGTCCTGTGAGTGGATAGAATAATCTGCTCTCACGTTCTTAAGCATTTACATTAAATTGTATGTTTAAATATCCAAGGATATTCCTTAATATCATATATGTATTTTAGGGGGGAGGGCTAGAATGTTTTTTTTTCTTTGTTTAGGGACAGACTTAGTTTTAGTCTTTCAAACCATGATATCACTTACTAAATTCCTTTTCAAGTCCCTACTACTTCCTTGACTTCACAGAACAATGAGAAAACAATGTACTAACAACAATGGAGTAACAATGTTTATTCTTGTAGATCATCATGCCACCCATAAAATGAAACTTAGATATTCCTTCCCCTTCCACCTTCAAGAAAGTAAAAAAAAATATATAATAGTTCAAAAAACAAATAAGAAATAAATACAAGTTGGATTGAGAGGAACATGCTTAGTTATTGACATATATTGTTAGCCTTTTAAAATGTATGCTATTTTTATATCAACTACTCATAGCACACTTTACACCCTCAGACTGTCAGGGCTGTCACCCTTCATGGGGGATAACGACGCTGAGACATTCGCCAACATCACTCGGGCCGACTTCGACTTTGACGACGAAGCATTCGAAGCCATCTCCCAAGACGCTAAAGACTTCATCAGTTCACTTCTTATCAAGAGAAAAGAGTAAGCTATGCAGTTGACTATAGTTTATTATTTGTATTTCTGTAAAGAAATGTTTTAATTTTCCTATCACCATTTTTTTAAATTGTTGTTTATTTTGTAGATCGTTCAGCAGAATTTTTTACTTGACCTAATAAAATAATTTTAATAAAAATAATTTATACTCCAGAATGTGTGCAATGATGATTTGAGTCTTACTGTCACTAAAATGCATTGCTTTCTTTTAAAACATGAATGTAAAATGGAGTGGTTGATCTAAAAACCTAAAGGAATTCATGAGGTTTATTAGATATACATGAATGATATTCACTGATGTAGGGATGGCGAAGACAGATTGAGTTACAACATTACAACCAATGTCTAGAATGTAAGAGAACCTTGCAAGACTGTAAAACCGTGATATTGTACTAGTTATGTTTCTCGTTGCCACCACTTAACTATTTTATAAGTACAGTTCATTCTTGTAGTCTATTGTCTCACCATGAGTCCAGCCAGCTATTCCGAGATCTTACTAAGTATTTTGTGGTGTTGCAGGAAGAGACTAACAGCAGAGGAATGTCTAAAGCACAAGTGGCTCACACAAAGTGACACAACTATGAACAGTGTCAAGCTGTGTACAGACAAACTCAAGAAGTTCATCATCAGGAGGAAGTGGCAGGTCAGCTATCTTCTGATACATATTTCCGTTTCCATGCTTAATTACATTATTAAGGCTGTTAAGGAAGACAGATTATTGTTTATCATGATCTTCAGGGCCGTATTTCCCTAGTGGGGTCAATCCATATCAAGTGATCCAATGAGAGTTGCTTGACCATTTTTAATATTTTTTTATTTTTTTGATATAATGTTCCCTCATGTTTTGGAAGCTCAAAAATAATTCTATTAAATTTTTATCCCTTCCAATTTTTTGGTAGTGGCCATTTTTGTCTTGCAGCGCACGGTGATTTTTTAGTTTGCAGACGTTAACGTAAACGAACATATCTTTTTACCTACTTAAGTTACACAAATGCAACCAAATTCATTTTGTTCATCATTTTCCCATCTTTAATTTTGGTTATGATCATAATCAGCCCAGTTTGTACCCATATGGGTGAAAAAAATGTTTAAAAACAAGCAGTGGAAAAAAATAAATTTTGGCGGACATGGTGGTCTCTGGGGGTCTCTTCCTGAGAGGGGGTTTCACTTGGAGCCCCCAAGAAATTTTATTCTTTAAAATTAAAATGAATTTCACAGATATAAAATTTGAAAAAAATAAGTAAAAGATTAAGTTTGAAATGTTATACAATGATGTTTATATTTGGTAAATCTTTGTCGGAGTTCCATAAAGTCTAATAAATAGCCTTAGTTTGATGTATCACTGTCAAAAATGTGCTTTGAATAGTTGTGTGGTTTTCAATTTCATTGATTTGTGCTAACTTGCTAACTATGTGTTTGTTTTACCATTGTGTGGATTTTAATCAAAATAGATTTTTCCTTTTTGAATTTACCCTCCTACCTATAGTTAACATATGATTTTTCCCTGTATTTCTTGAACATTAAAACTTTTTACCAAGCTTGTGTGGCTTTTGTGTGTACTAATCCGCATGGTCGTGTTGTGTGTGATTTGCAGAAGACAGGGAATGCTATCCGGGCGCTGGGACGTATGGCAACACTGTCTGCGGCTAGTAGACGCAACTCTAGCACCAGCACGCCCCCCTCCCCCCGCCCCTCCCTGGCTGCCTCACGTCTGTCTAGCCTGGACGAGGAGGGGAGGGGCGACCGTGACCGAGCACGGGGCCGAGTATGCAGTGAGCGCAGTGACAGTGGCATCAGTGACTGTAGCAGTATCAACACCTCGGCTACCCCCACCACTCCCTGCCATCTCCTCAACAAGAAATACTCTATTTGCGAAGAGCCCGAGCACGACCTTAGTAGTTGTAGACTAACTGAGCACGGTGTGACTGTTAACAAACTGTGTGACGGTGTTAACGGCAAAGCCTCTAATGTTTCAGTCGCTGCCAAGAAACGAACGACAAATAGCTTAAGACTCGACATTGAGCCCGCCAAAGCGCCTTCTCCCACTTTACAAAAGGACGCTAAACTATTCGGCAAAAGTGAGAACTTCCAAAAGGCCTTCGCTTTTTGGAAACAGTAATACCATGTACAAAGCCTTCGCAGTGCCCGTTGCCAAAGTTATTGTTAATGAAACAGATTGTTCTATACGGATAGAATAGTTGTGTTTTCAGTTTTAGTCTATTGTTATGCTTATAGCCGAGTAAATATAGCTTTTATCGTCAATTGTTATCATAATGATAACTTATTTCGTATCATTTAATATATTGTATCCTGTATTGTTACTATTAGCGTCAATAAATTAAAATTTTATTTATTAAATGTTTCTACAGTAAAATTATTTACACCTCTCCAGTTACTAAGAATCTTTAAACAAGTATACTGATACCAAACAAAATGTTAAGATTAACTAATCACTAACTACTACACAATCATTTATTTTCAGGTAACACTCAACGACTCAACTCACTTCTATCTCCTACTTAAAAGTCCGGACTAAATTTGTCCAGATATTTTTTATATTCCTCTTTTTCACAAATTTCTTCAAAGGCAAACCACAAGTCACGAGTTTCGCTGCATAGTTTAAACATGTGAGCAGCCATTGTATCGTTCCACCCTACATTCAGTTGGTAAGCGTGAATGTTTATAAAGTTTGGAAACGCTGGTTCTCCTTTGCGGCAATGCTCTATCGCGATGCTTCTAAACGTTGGGTCTTTTGCTCTAAGTCTCTTTAAGAAATTGGCAGCATGCTCGTTGTAACATTCTACATTCTCACAGAGCACTTGGTAATCATTGAGTTCCAACTCGTCCGATAACTTCTGAATTATTCTGTCTATGGCTTGGAGGTAGATTGAGGTCGGCACAAAACACCAAGCCACAGTGATCACACAGCTTAAGAGAGTGACAAGTCTCATAATGTTAGACAGTAAAACTGATAAGTCAAGATGAATCTGATGTGACAGTTGTTTCATATCAACAATTGATTACCAAGTCTGCAATACACGCACTTTGTTGTGTGATTTAGGGTAAAATTTACGTGTTTGTTTTTTGCCTTGTGCTTGTGACATTTATATTGTTTATGGTAATAAAATGGAAATATAAACAATCTTTTTAGTTTTTTCTATGAAAAATTACATACTTATCTATTTTACTTTATTGCAATAGTGAGGATGTCAGTTGAGTGTATTATAATGAATAAAATCGTTGAGGGCTATTTAATAACACTAGCACACCTGTTGCTCAAATCCGAGCAATTGAAAAGTACTACAGCTAAACTTGAACAAAGTTTTGGCACCTATTTTTTATGTTTTGATGTAATTTTCTTTAAAACTATAAGCAATACTCTGGGATCCATTTTTTACATTTGAAACATTAAAAGTTATCCTCAATTCTTCATTTTGGCATTTTAGTACCTATAACTTAATAAAGTTTGCCCATGAATCATAGTGACATATTTAACCAGCTGTAACTCAAGTATATAATCATTTTTTTCTTATATTTAGCTGTAGAATCATATACCAAGGGATTATTGTGGAATCTAGTATCACTCTGTTTATCTTTCTGTCACACTGGTTAACATTGTCTTGTCAATCAATCAATCAATCTTTATTTGCCATAAGGATACATTTACATATCATTGACAAAGTCTATTTGCAGATTTCAAACCAAGTTTTAACATAAACAACATAATACTCTTACAGGCCAAATATTACAATTAACATTCAACTCCATTCACATTCTTAACTGAAATTAAAACCAAACTAAAGGACAATTTCTCCCAGTTTAAAATAATCATCCAGACTATAAAAAGGGTTCTGAAGTAGATAATTATAAAACATAGCCTTAAATTTGTTAATTGAATGAAAATTTATATTATTTTTTACTGAATTATACACTTTAATTGATAAAATTATGTGGCAAATACTAGTTTTACTAAGACGATGGGATTCTAACAGCGCAGTATTTTTAAAACGAGTGTTGTGACTGTGATTATTAAATTGAAGATATTCAGGGTTTTTTAATTATATAAACAATCAGATCATAAATGAACAAATTTATTGCAGTTTGAATTTGCATATCTATAAAAAGAGGTTTGCAATGATCAGGGTGCGTCCCTGTCATAGCTCTTGAAGCCCTTTTTTGGAGAATCAAAATTTCTTTTATTCTACCACTACCACCCCAAAGCACCAATCCGTATCTCATGATTGACTGGAAGTACGCAAAATAGGCCGTCCTTACATATTTCTTAGGAACCTGATTTACAAGACGATCTAAAAGATGCACCACACGAGACAATCTTGAAGATAAATAATCTATGTGAGCATTCCATGTGAGTTGATTATCAATTTGAAGGCCCAAAAATTTTACAGCTGTGCTATTATTTAGATCACTAAGAGAGTGGGGATTTGTTTTAGTGTAAAAATCATGTTTTGGGTTTTTTCGTCATTAAGCAAAAATCCATTCGCATTAAACCAATTTGATGCTTTTAGCTTTGTTTCATGGACAAGAATTTTTAGTTCTGTTAGGTTGGGGTTTACATGAAAAAATGATGTATCGTCAGCATAAAGAATAGTTTGACTCTTTACTGACAATGGAAGGTCATTAAAATAAATTAAAAATAAAAGTGAGCCAAGGACTGAGCCTTGGGGAACGCCCCATTTTACATTCTTTTCTTTTGACGTATTGCTGTTAATACTTACTATTTGTTTACGATTGTTTAGGTAAGATAAAAAGAATTGTAGAGACGGCCCTCGAAACCCATAACTTCGTAATTTGTTTATAAGAATTTTAAAATCAACACAATCAAATGACTGTGCTCTCAAATGCTGTCATTAATGCTATAAGGGACTACTTAATGCTACAAGCCTACTAGTACTAGTACTTATGTGCTAGAAAAGTTAAATTTACTTTAAATGGGATTTCAAAATTTACAACATTAAGAGATTGCTGCTTAACAACCCCATGTATTTGTTATTTCATTTAGTAATTCTCAAAGCTGTGTTTTTTTATCTAAATCCTGAAACTGATTGTATTAATTAGTGAGATAAGTCACTCATTATCAATCTCTCTTGACTTTTGACTACAGATAAAATAAGTACCACTAATTCAGCTCATTCTGTTTGAAGCCAGTGTCTAAGAATGCTGTTAGCATACGTTGTTGTGTTTGTTTTATCTATTTTTCATATCAAAGCATTGGAATATCCGGTAGTGCAAGTGGACCAAGGTGCCTTACAAGGGGTGGAGGACCAAACAACATTGGGGAAGAAGATTTACAAGTTTGTTGGAGTGCCTTATGCCAAACCACCTGTGGGCAAGAACAGGTTCGAGGAGCCCAAGCCAGCTGAGAAATGGCAAGGAATTTACCCAGCCACTCAACACAGTTCCGTTTGTTTGCAGCATATGTTGAACTATGACAGCCCAGATTTGATAACGGGAGAAGAAGACTGCCTGTATTTGAACATTTACACCCCGACACTATCCAACTCATCAAATCTTCCAGTTGTGGTTTATTTCCATGGAGGAGCGTTTATGTATGGAACCGGGCACATTTTCACTCCTCATTTTATCCTAGACAGATTTGACTTTGTGTACGTGTCAGTCAACTATCGACTCGGCCCTTTTGGGTTTTTGAGCACCGAAGATGAAATCGTCCCTGGGAACAATGGGCTTAAGGATCAAGCATTGGCTTTGAAGTGGGTGAATCAAAATATTGCTGCGTTTGGAGGTAACAAAGACGATGTTACTCTCTCAGGGTTGTCAGCTGGTGGAGCCAGTGTGCATCTGCATTACCTCTCCCCTCAGACTACAGGATTGTTCCAGAGAGGAATCTCCATGAGCGGATGTGCCTTGAATCCTTGGGTGTTGGCTGAAAAGTCGGCAGAGAAGGCAAAACAACTTGCGTTGTCTGTTGGGTGTCCAATTGACACTTCCAAACAAATGATCAATTGTTTGAAGAGGAGACCAGGACGGAAAATACTTGCGCAATTAAAGTCTTTATTCTGGCCATGGGGAACCCTTCCTTTCTCTCCTTTTGGAGTTGTGGTAGAGACTTCTGGGAAGAATCCATACTTGTCCGAACACCCTTTGAAACTTATCTCAGAAGGAAAGGTGGCAGATCTTCCTTGGCTGACCAGTATTACAAAGGACGAAGGACTTTACCCTGCTGCTAGGTTTATCGATCGGGAAGAACTTTTCAGTGAATTAAATGATAACTGGAACCAGATAGTACCTCACATCTTGGACTATAACTTCACTATTCCATCGGCTGATATTAACAGTGTAAGTGACAAAATTAGACAGTTTTATTTTAAGGGTGATCAAGTATCAATTCAAAATCGAAACAAACTTGTCGAGCTAATAGGAGATAGGTTGTTCAATGTGGATATGGAAAAAGCATCACGGTTACAAGCAGAAGTAAATCAGTCTCCCGTGTATTTTTATGAATTTGCATATCAAGGAAAATACAGTATTTCTATTTTTATATCCAAGTTTAATGTGACCTATGGAGTAAGCCATGGTGACGATTTGATATATATCCTTAATCGGCCGATCTTGACACCATTAGAAATCCAGGAGGATAAAGAGGTAATGCTGAAAATGACAGAAATCTGGGCCAGTTTTATTCAATCCGGAAAACCTTCTATAGGAAAAGATGTTGTATGGGAACCAGTTTTAAGAAATTCAGGGAACTTCAAATACTTGTTGATCAACTCTAGTAAAGACATAAGAAGTCAGTCCGCCTCACAGTTGGGCAACAGAGAATTTTGGGATTCAATAAATTTTGACGAACTTGAATCTTTTCTTCAAAATACTTACACCAAAGATGAATTGTAGAGTAAGTTACTAACTATTTAATTTATGCACAGTATATTCTCAATATGAATAAACTATTATGTTTGACTTTCAGGATTTTTTATAGTTATAAAATAAAAGTTTTTCACAATGTTGTCCATCTTTCTATCATTAATCATTATGTATTGTAATTATTTGTACTTAGAAAAACAAATTAAATTAATTTATTATTAAGATACAGTAAACAGACATACATGTTTCAAATCATTAATATCCGATTAGCTGTAAAGAAGCAATTTTTCAGAAAAGTTACCTTTGCCATGACTTTCCCGCCCCCCCCCCTTTCCTTTTCCTTTTTTGACCCTTAAGCGTGGGCGCTCTTTTTCTTTACGCTGAAGCGCGCACAGGGGTTTACTGGACTTTCAAACAAAAATGGGTATATACAATTTTGTTTTATATTTAGCTCTTTAAACTTTAGACATAATATCTATATTCATTTTCTCATTTCGTTACGTACATTTTATGATCCT